ATGCTGATCTCGCTGTGCCACGGCCTCGCAGCAGCGCTGCCATGCGGGCACGACCTGCCTGCTGGGCCACTGGGTCGGCGGGCTGCTGGTACTTCTTGGGGCCGTTCGACTGCGCCGCCATGACCTGCTGGGCTGCCTCCACTGCGGCCTGGCGCATCTTGTTCATGTCCTCATCCTTCTCCGTCCTGGGCGTGCTGATCTCCGTCTGCAGCGTGGTCACGGCGGTCTGGAAGTTCCTCATGTTGGCGAGCAGCTGCGCAGAGCTCTGTTGCAGTGCTGCGAGCAGTGCGGGCATGGCGACGCCGCAGACTGCGCCTCTCCAGGTGGTGTTACCTGCCGATGAGGCTGCGCAGCGGCCCTCGGGGGGGGGGGGGCTGCTACATCTGCTTGGCTGGCTCCTTTCCCTGGCGCCGGCCATGCGTGCTGGCCTGTGCGCGAGGGAGCGGTCGCTGCAGTTGAGGCAACTGATGCCTTTCCTGGCGACTGAAGTGTCGGAGCTCTATGTCCTGGTCGAAAGTGTCCTGCGGGGCCATCTTCCTCGGCCATGCGGATGTCATCATCGTCGTCTTGATCATTCGCTGCTCTTGCTGACGTGACTGGTAGCGAATCCTCGAGCTCCTCGAAGTGCTCAAGCAACTGCTCTGCCTGTGTAACTTCCTCTTGCAAATGCTGACATTGGACTTCTGCTGCGTCGATCTGTTCATACAAAAGATTCAGCTTCGCAGTGGCATCTGTCAGGCGTCTGCGGCATCGATTGACGAATAACCTTTGTTTAGTCACTCTTGCCTGTGGTGAACGGCTGTGCGTGACTGATACAACACAACTGCATATTCTTCTTGCAGAACCGACATTTGCTGGGCATCTAATGTGAGAGCATCTGCACAAGGAATCTGTCTCTCCAACGATTCCATGGTGGATGTTAGAGCTTTGCGATATTCTCCTAGCAATTTAGGATCCTCTGGCGGATCCCTCCATCTTCTGTGACTGGTGGCAATCTCAGGCGTGGCTGGTAACAAAGGTATGAGATCGTCATGGGGCTCTTGCTGATTTCCTGCCGTGGATTTTGCTGCGTCACCATGTGTCGGCTGAGCTGAGGCGGCTCGTCTTCTCGGGGCACGCGATGCGGATCCGTGCGCCATGGTCGCTCACTCGACTGCTGAGACATGGATGGGAAACACTTTTTACATGTGTACGAATCCCAGGGGTTGGCACATGCGCATGCTGGACATTCCCACAATTTCTTGAAACTTCGTTGCGTGCGCTGCCATGGTCCTCCCCCTCGAGGAGGAAGAGGGAAGAGGGAGAAGAGGGTGGATATGGAGTAGAAGCGGAGGAGAGGAATAGTTGGGGAAGGGTGGAGGAGGAGGAGAAGGAGGAGGAGGAGGAGGAGGAGCACCAGGGGAGCTGGACAAATAATCAGGATGAAGACGAAGGAGGATAAGGAGGAAAGAGGGGGGAGTAGCAGGACAGGCAGGGAAGGAGCGGAGGAGGAGTGGAGGAGCGGAGGGGGTTGGGTTGGAGGACGAGGGGGAGGGCTTCGCGCGCGCGCATGGAAAGTGCCCTCCGGCGGTCCCGCATGGGTCGTGGCGCTGTCAAGAGAGAGAGAGAGAGAGAGAGAGAGAGAGCGAGTGAGTGAGAGAGAGAGAGAGAGACTGAGAGAGACAGAAAGAGAGAGATATATATATATATATATATATAGAAAGAACGAGAGAGAGAGAGACAGGGAGGGGGGGGACGAGGGGGGGGTCTGACGAAAGGGGGTGAGTGGAAAAGGGGGGGATGAAAGGAGGGGCATGGAAAGTGTCAGGGATTTCAGACGTTTTCGTCTGCTCTTGGCGGCTTCCCGGCCCCGGGATGCTTTCCAGTCGCTGGCGCTCTCGAGAGCGTTCCGCCGCCCGGCGCTTTCCTCGACACGCTGGCGCGCCTGCTTCGCCAGGAGGCACTGGAAGCCAGCTGTGCAAGCGGATGCGCCAAGCCACCCCCTCTGCTTTCCCGCCCCTTTTCTCGGGCAATCGCAAACATGGAACAAGGGGGCGTGGATTAGCGACTGGCCCCGTTTCCCTGGGACATCGCGGATCTCTGCCGACGAACGAGGCGGCACCGGCCGCATTGTGAGGAGGGCACCTCCCCCGATCCATGGATTTAGCGACCGCACGCCAAGTCCATGGATCGCTAATCCATGTTTGCGCGCCCCCGACTTCCGTCCGACCCGAGTGGAGGGGAGAGGGGGGAGAGGACGAGGGGGAGGCGAAGATCGGGTGGAAGACGAGGGGCGGCGGGACGGAGTGATGGCGAGGGGACACGGGTGAGGGGAGTGATGGCCCGCCCCTCTCTCCCTTTTTGCCTCTCCCTCGAGCCCAGCGCAGCCTCCTACGCGCGAGGCTGCTCCAGCATCGCGACAACAGGATGCAGCTCGCCAGACTCGCAGCAGACCCATGTCCTTAGGATTGGCATCAGCTTATCCCGGCACCGATCTCAAAGATTGCCCCAGCTCCTGAGGGCGCATCTCTGAGATTGCCATCGCCTTGGTCCTGTCAATATCTGGGAAGCGCCCGAGGCTGGTTCGGCTGCTGCCAGCTGAGTATCGTGCGCGAGCGCTTGCCGCCCTAGGCTGTCGCGGGCGACCGCGTTCTGGAGGGCCGCCCAGTGGGGCGATGAGGCAAACTGCAGTCAAGACGCTGACATAAGTCGAAGAACAAACAAATGCCACATACATAAACGTTTGGCGCTCTGCGCGGATGTCTTGGATCCGCGCTGGGCCCCCCGGCGGTGCCTCTGGTGCCGCCCCTGGCGCGCGGAGCGCGCCAGGGAGGGGGGTTCCAGCGCAGAGCCAAGAAGTCCGCGCGAAGCGCCAAAAGTCTATGTTCATGGCGTTTTGTTCCTAATAAGGACCACCCAGGGCTCATGAGGGGCTCTGTCTTGTTTGCCTCTCCTGAGATCTTGGCCGGGCAACCTAGCCGTAGCGGGAGCTCGCATTGGCCAGGAAGGCCCCCCGCGGTCGTTGCTCAGCGTTCCTCATGTTAGCACGACGGCTGTAACATTGCGCAGCGGACTGGGTCAGCAGCTGGGCAGCCGCACCATGAACATCGCTTGACGCGTCGCCACGCTTTCGGTCAGCGCCCTTCGGCCTGCCATGCTCAGACCGTCGGCGTTTGAGATCCAGTGCAAGTCCTAGCCGTCATAGAGCGCTTTCTGCGTCTTTTGCTCAGCGCTGCTAAGGCAACGTGTAATGACATATTCCCTCACGGCCTCAGTTATTCGGCTGAGTTCTATTCAACTTTCCCTTAGTTTTCTTCTTCTTGTTCTTACTATCATAATTACTAAAGCATATCGTGTTTTTTGCATTACTCTTTTTCGTCTTGATAGGATTAGCATTTCTGTTACTATGATTATGACTACTGCTATTACGTTTATTTCATGTGTTGCTGATATTATGTTTCGTATGATCCGTAAGGGCTTCGCCCCATGCCGCCGGCCCCCTGTCTCGGATAATGGGAGATGCAGCAGCTAAATCATAAGGTCTGGGCGCCGCCGTGAAGCAGTGTCGGGACCTGTTTGTTGTTCGACCCTGACCCTACGGATCTGCGTGAGGGGTGCCGCCGAATTTCAGAAATGTGACAAATCCCTTATGCTTTCGGACCCTGACCCTGCCGATCTGCGTGAGGGGTGCCGCCGAATTTCAGAAATGTGACAAATCCAATATTTCTGTTTGACCCTGACCCTGCCGATCTGCGTGAGGGGTGCCGCCGAATGTCAGAAATGTAGCAAATCCCCTGTGTTTTTGGACGCTGCCCCCGCCGATCTGCGTGAGGGGTGCCGCCGAATTTCAGAAATGTGGCAAATCGAGGGGTGCCGCCGAATTTCAGAAATAATCCCTTACGTTTTTAGACGCTGCCCCCGCCGATCTGCGTGAGGGGTGCCGCCGGATGTTAGAAATGTGGCAAAACCCTTGTGTTTTTGGACCCTGACCGTGCCGATCTTCGTGAGGGGTGCCGCTGAATTTCAGAAATAATCCCTTGTGTGTTTGGACCCTGACCCTGCCGATCTGCGTGAGGGGTGCCACCGAATTTCAGATATGTAGCAAATCCCTTGTGTTTTGGACCCTGACCCCGCCAATCTGCGTGAGGGGTGCCACCGAGTTTCAGAAATGTGGCAAATCCCGTGTGTTGGACTCTGACCCCGCCGATTTGCGTGAGGGGTGTCAATTTTAACCCACCCCAGCAATTCAAAGCACACGCTCAGGGCGTAGTAAAAGTGCCCGTTTTGGGGCCTCCCCCCATCAACAAGGAAAGTAAGCAGCAAGAAGCAGACAAGGAACAGTAAGCAGCAAGAAGCAGATCTGTAACAGTGGAAACTGGAAGCTGCAACTGGCAGAGGAAACTGCGAACCTTCGCCCGACAGCCTGGTGGTCCCCCAAGGGGGCCGGCGGATCTTTTATTTCATTGCTAGTATCATGCTTTTCCGTAGCAGTATGATTCTCCCTTCGGCTGCAAGACTGACACGCAGGTGTATCCAGTGCATTTTGAGGTTCGGGTGGGCCATGCGCCCTCCCTGGCAAGCTCGACGGCGTCCAAAGGAGCCCGAATCGTATCAAAACCTCGGTCCTCAATCTTCCTCCTCCCTCGCTGCCTCCCTCTCGGAACGGGGCACCGAGGGCGGCTGCACGAGGGAGCAGGCCTTCTCAGGAGGCGGCGTGGCTTCTCAGAATCCCTTCGGCCCGAGGAGCCTGTGGTTTCAGGCCTGGGCCTTCTGAAGTGGCCCACCCCTAGCCCTGGGGCCACTTCTGAAGTGGGCAGTTTCTGAAGTGACCTTCTGAAGTGGCTTCGGGTCTGGGCCTTCTGAAGGGCTTCGGGCCTGGGCCTTCCCCTCCCGGCGCGCCGCTGGCCCTTTCCCCCCCCCTCATCTCGAGGCCTGGCCGGGGCGGGAGGGGGGGGCGCGGCGGCGGCGGGGGAGCGGGCGAAGCCGGCAAGCGGGCCCGCGGGGAGGCCCGTCGCGCAGCGATGGCAGGCGGCATGGCTCAGGCTGCCTTCTGCGCGCCGCTTCCGACTCCGTCGTCGCCGTCGTCGCCGTCGCCGCCGCCGCCGCTGCCGCCTTCGCCGCCTCCGCCGCCGGGAAGGCCCTCGGAGCCCGGTCCAGGCGGGGGCAGGTCGAGAGTGCCGGGGGCCCAGCGGCGCGAGGCAAGTCGGGGCCTTCGGAGGCCTGGGTCGCCCCTCCCACGCCACCCACCAAACCACCCCAACCCGACTCCACCATGCCCGGTGGGGGGGGATCCCAGTGGGGGGGGGGATCGGGCACCCGACCCCCCCCCCCATTCCGAAATGCGGGTCTTCGGGTCAGGTCGGGGTGGTCTGGTAGGTCGTTCTTCCCTCCCTCTCCATCCTTCCTTTCTCCTCGCTCTGCCTCGTTCCGGCCCTCCCCGGGAGGCATCCGGAGGATCCAGGGCCTTTGCTCTCTCGTCGCCCTTTCCGGGCTCGTTCATCATCCCTGTGTCCTCCCTCATCCCGCTCTCCTCTCCACCCTCCTCGTCCCTCCTCCGTCCCTCTTCCTCGTCCCTCCCAATCATCTCTCTATCTTTCCTCGTCCCTCCTAGTCCCTCTTCCTTTTTTCCTGTCCTCTCCCTCCTAATCCTCTCTCCCTCAGCGTCCCTCTTTCATTTCTTCTCGTCCCGCCGCGGCCGCCTGATCCTCATAGCCCGTCCGCTCCTCCTTCCAGCCCCCCCTCCCACCACGCTTCCACCATCTCATGTCCTCCCCTCATTTCCTCTTCTCCTCTTCCTCCTCCTCCTCCTCCTCCTCCTCCTCCTCCTCCTCCTCCTCCTCCTCCTCCGCTCCTCCTCCTCTCCTCCTCCTCCTCCTCCTCCTCCTCCTCCTCCTCCTCCTCCTCCTCCCCCTCCTCCTCCTCCCCTCCCCCCTCCGCAGGGGCACGGTGTCGTATCCTGGCACCGGCGCTACCTCAAGCGGAGGGCACACTGTCAGGGAACTGGCCCAAGTTGGCGGAGACACGCAGGCGGCCGTTGTTTTGCGTGGTGGGGGGTTCGACTCCCTCTCATCACGATTGTTTATTTCAGGTCAGGCGTTGCACTTGTTTGCCCTCCTGGGTCTGCGTAGCCGGCCCGCAGGATCAGGGTCGGCGCAGCGGGGCCCGCGGAATCAGGACCTGTGTCGTCTCCAGAGGCGAGGATTTCGATTCCTCGCAGCACCACCGGAGCGGCTCACCGCCTCAAGGAAGGCGGCCGCGAGTGGGCCAGGCGACTTGCCCTTGTCCCGTTCCGTCGCACTTTTTTGCCTCAGTGCTCCCTTCGGGGATGCGACTTCCGTTGTCGCTCATGCACAGTTCCCACAGTTCCTCCTCCTCCCCCACCCCTATATTATCCTCCTCCCCCTTTTTCTCCTCATCTCATTCAGCCCTTTCTGCTTCGCCGCGCGGGAGGAGCATCCGCAAGGGGATGGCCTCTGTTCGACTCCACGGCGCTGCAAGTGTCGCACGACTGCCACAAACGCGCGCGCTGATTTGTTAAATGACCTTCCCGCCTCCCCTCCTTTCTCTCCTCTTCGTCCTTCCTCCCTTCTCCTTCGTTTCTTCCTTCGCCCCCTCTTCTTTCGCACTCCTCGCCGCGTCGCATCTTCCTCTGCCCCGTCCTCCTGTGCTTTATGCTGTATACTCCCCCCTCCTCCAGGGCAGTCCTCTGGAGTGCCCCTTCGGGGCGCCACCCGCCGCCCCGTCGTGTTGGCCAGTTGCCCTCTTTGGTTGGTTGGCACTCGCAAAACGACGGGCTTGCCCCGAGAGGACCCCTAGCGACACGCTCTCTTAATATCTACGCAGTCCTCGTTTCCCCTCCCATTCCCCCCCCCTCATTCCACCCTTCCTCCCGCCTCCCGCCCCTCGGTTCCGCCTCCCCCCGCCCCTCTCCCTCCTCCCCCTCTGCTTCCCCGCCTGCCCATCCGTGTCGTCCTCCTCGCCATGACACCTGTTCTTCTTCTACTCGCCCCTTCGACCGGCGACCTCCTCGCGAGGCGCTTACCTTCGCGGCCGCGCTGGTGGCGGCCCGGGCTCAGATGAAAGGCGATCCGGGCCGGGGGCTTGCGTGCGGAGAGCATTTTTATAATGACGAGGAAGTTAAGGAGGACGGTCATGAAGGTGATGGTGATTGTGATGATGACGAAGGTGTTTGTCATCGTGGTGGTGATGGTGATAGTGCAGATGACGATTGTGGTGTTGGTGATGGTAAAGACGATTCTGATGACGACGGTGATTTTCTCGTTGATGACTGCTGTGATGGTGATGACGATGACGACGACGATACTGTTGACGACGAAGATGCTGTTGTGATGATGGCGATGATGATGCTGATGATGAGAATGTCGATGATGATGAGGATGTCGGTGCTATTGATGATGAGGATGACGATGATGGTGTCGATGCTGATGAGTATGATGATGCTGATGGGGATGACGATGTCGATGAAGATGAAGATGTTGATGACGATGACGGTGACAATGGCGATGGTGATGCCGATGATAGTGCTGATGATGTTGACGGTAATGATGATTGTGATGATGTGGTGCCAATGATGACAATGACGAGGACGAACATGACGAGGAGGATGCTGATAGGGGAGGGTATTGATGACGATGACGATGTCGATACTCATGCTTTTGTTGTTGATTCCATTGCTGCTGATGATGGGGATGATGACGATGCTGGTGATGCGTTGGTAATATCCATGCTGATGCTGCTGACGTTGACGGTAATGATGCTCTCTATGTTGATGTTGACGTATTTGCTGATGATGATGGCGATGGTAATGATGGCCATGATGATGATGACGGCGAAATTGCTGATGCTGATGGTACGGCTGATGCTGAAGATGCTGTTGATGATGATGACGGCGAAACTTCTGATGATGATGCTGATGATGTTGGTGATGATGATGTTAATACTGATGCGGCCGATGATGCTGATGATGCTGATGCTGGTGAATATGATGATGTTGATGCTGAATCTGATCATGCTGAGGAGTATGCAGATGATGATGTTGATGAGGATGATGATGAGGATGATGAGGATGAGGATGAGGATGAGGATGAGGCTGGGGATGAGGATGAGGATGAGGATGACGATGACGATGAGGATGATGATGAGGATGATGATGATGATGATGCTGATGATGATGCTGATGGTGATGGTGATGGTGATGGTGATGGTGATGGTGATGGTGATGATGACGATGCTTCCCCAGTCGATGGACAGCGCACAAAGCACAACTGCTATCCGCCGACCAAGATTTGTGGGGTCACAAACCAAGCCCTTGCCAGCCACGAGATCCCGACTGTTTCCCGGGAATGCCCAGAGAAAAGGCCAGGGCAGCCACATCGACCGCAGACCCAAATGTCCAAATGGATCCAGCCGTTTCGACGAGGAGGGCCCCTAAATTCTTTACGCTTCGCGCATCCCCACCAGCCCATCTCACAACAGCAACTCTTGCGAAGCGTGCCGACAGTTGTGTTTTTTCAGGCGTGTGTCCGCTTGGCGCCGCATATCCCCCCTGTTCCTCCTTCTTCCCGCCTCCGACGACGGCGGCGGTGCGGGCCCTCGTTGTGTGAGTCCTTCGGCCCCGTCGTCCTTGTGTGAGTCTTTCGGGACCCTATTCCTGGTGTGAGTCGTTCGGTATCCTCGTTGTGTGAGTCGTTCGGGCCCTTCTTCCTGGTGTGAGTCGTTCGGGCTCGTCGTGTTGTGAGTCGTTGGGGGTTCTCGTGGTGTGAGTCGTTCGGGCGTCTCGTCCTGGTGTGAGTCGTCGGGGTCCCTCGTCCTGGTGTGAGTCGTTCGGGTTTCTCGTGGTGTGAGTCGTTCGGGCCTCTCGTCCTGGTGTGAGTCGGTCGGGCTTCTCGTGGTGTGAGGCGTTTGGGCACCTCGTCCGCGTGCGAGTCGTTCGGGCCCTTCGTCGTAGGAGTCGTAGTAGTAGTAGTAGTAGTAGTAGTAGTAGTAGTAGTAGTAGTAGTAGTAGTAGTAGTAGTAGTAGTAGTAGTAGTAGTAGTAGTAGTAGTAGTAGTAGTAGTAGTAGTAGTAGTAGTAGTAGTAGTAGTAGTAGTAGTAGTAGTAGTAGTAGTAGTAGTAGTAGTAGTAGTAGTAGTAGTAGTAGTAGTAGTAGTAGTAGTAGTAGTAGTAGTAGTAGGTGTGACTCTCGTTCGGGTCCTCGTGGTGTGAGTCGTTCGAGGCGCGCGTCGTGGTGTGAGTCGTTCGGGGTCCTCCTTCTGGCGTGAGACGTTCGGGTTCTTCGTGGTATGAGTCGTTCGGGCCCCTCGACCTGGTGTGAGTCGTTCGGGCTCCTCGTGGGGCCTCTTGGCGGCCTCTTGGAGCCTCTTGGGGCCTCTTGGGGGCCTCTTGGGGGCCTCTTGGGGGCCTCTTCGGGGCCTCCTGGGGCCTCTGGGGGCCTCTTGAGGGCCTCTGGGGGGTCTCTTGGGGGCCTCTTGGGGCCTCTTGGGGGCCTCTTGGGGGCCTCTTGGAGGCCTCTTGGGAGGCTCCTGGGGGCCTCTTGGGGCCATCTTGGCGCCTCTTGCGACATCCTCAGAAACGCAAAGAAGCGCTGCCCCCTGAAAAGGACAAAATGAGCCCAAAACCATCGTAAAATCAATGATTTTGCTATGAAGGAAGATGAGCGCGGCCCCCTCGGGAAGCCAAAATGGAGCCAAACCCTCGTAAAAGCAAGGATTTTGGTTTAACAGAAGAGGAGGGTACTACAAGAGGGTCCCCCCGTCGGAGCCAGAATCCTTGTGAGGGTCGTCGTTTTTTGGCCCTCCCAGGCGTCGAAAAAGACCACCCTGACGACCCGCGGGCTCCGCTCTGCAGGTCCAGGGGGAGGGGGTAGGGGGAGGGGTAAACCCCTCCCCGAAGGGGAAGAAGGGGGGTTGGGGGGTTGAGAACAGAGAAAGCTCCCTAAACCACTCACGCCCAAAGGGCTGGTGGGATTCTCTTTTCCGCCGTGGTTCGCCGGGCCCTGGGGACGCGCGGGGCAGCGGCTGCGAATGTTCACCCACCCACCTCCGCGTTTCGCCCCCGACGCGTCCGATCACGGGGTGGGGGCAGCGTTCCCTCAGTCCCACGGGACAGGCAGGGGCGGAGCTGCCATGGCCCACCCTCCCCAGAGCATCCCGTAACGGGGGGGGGTCGGAGGAGGAAAAGGTACCCATACCGCCACCCTTCCTCGCGTTCCTCTTCTTGGGCCTCCTGGGAGGCACTCGTCGCCACCGCTGGATTCGCCTCGAAATGTTGGTCAGAACGCACGCCGGGAGAGGTCTGGAAGTAGCGGTGCGGTACCTGTTGGTTTCCCCAGAGGGGGCAGCGCTCTCAGAGTTCACTTGCCGGGCACGGTCTGGTTTGGACCACATGCGCCATCCTGATCTAGCCAGGACTCGAGCAGCAGCTCTCACACCGAGGGGAACGCCATGCCACACTTTTGGGGAAACCCTCGGGCAGGGCGAGACAGGACGCCGGCGACAGCTCTGCTGGGACCAGGGGACGGCCTGCCTTCAGCACGAGCGTTCGCAATCAGGCATTCGTCGCCCATCTGCTGGGCGGTCTTGGTGGCATGCCGCCCGCAGGCGCGGCAAAACGAAACACCCATGAAGGCAGACAAAGCGTGCTCGAGCCCGGGCGGCAACCTGGAGGAGGAGGCTGCTCTGCTGCCTTTGCTGGTCGATCGGATGCGCATGCAAGGGGCGGGCCGCAAGGGCTTCCACACTTGCGGCGACTTGCCCCGTCTTGCGAATCGCTGGCCTCGGCCCACTGCCCTGGACCAGCTTTTTATCCTGAGCCGCTTTTTCACAGTCCCAGGTCCTGGGTGTGGCCCCGGGGCGCCGAAGAGGAGCGACAAGTTTGCGGCACCTGTCTTCCAGTCGCCAAGATGGCCCCCCCCGAGCACGGTTGTCCCCGGGTCCTGACCGGGGGAACTCTCCGGCCAGAGTCTCGAGGGTAACCCGGCCATGGCGACGAGGGCCCCCATGGAGGCCCAGAAGAGCCCCAAGAAGACCAATGAGCTCCGACCTTCGATCCCGTCGATCCTCGGTCCTTGAGGGGCGAGGGCCCGCGGGCGAGAGAGAGAGAGAGAGAGAGACGAGCGAAGGCGCGGGGCCTCGGCCGGCCGCCCTCTGCCCCGCGAGGCGACGTGAGCCCGAAGGAGGACCACCCGAAGCTCAGCATGGAGGAGCCCTCGGGCGCCTTGTCGCCGCCCACCAAACCACCCCAACCCAACCCGAAGGTCGCGATTTGCCCTCCATTTCTAGTGGGGGGGTGGCGTGGAACAAAGGAAAAACACGTATGAAGCCCGTACCCCCCCCCCAACCCGAAATTCGGGCCTCCGGGTTGGGTTGGGGTGGTCTGGTAGGTAGTCACCTTGGGGCCGCTGTTTCGTCCCATGGCGACGAAGGGCGTGGCCGGCAGTAGGAGGACATGCCCGACCTGAATATCGGCGATGATCCTCGCGATTAGGGCGGGAGGGCGGTGCTCCCAGGGGGGCCCAGGTGCGGCGGGTGGGCGCCGTGCCGACGCCGATGCGACCCGAGCGCGCACGCTCGAGGCCGAGCGCCGCCGTCGGTGCAGAAGCGGCCGATATTCAGGTCGGGCATGTCCTACGGGCGGATTTCGCGCGATGATGAGGTGGGCCGGTCCCGTCACGATCCGCGCCGGCGCCGGTCGGGAAATGCTCAGCGATCGCCAATGCCCGGGCTGCGGAGGCGCGGATCGTGACGTGGCCAGAAGGGGGGCAAGGGGGGGTACAGGGCCAGTCACCGATTTTACCGCGAATAGTACCGGTCAGCCTTCTGACAACAAGTGGGCGCCTGTTCTTTTCGGGGCGCCATTCGGGACGAGAATCGGTGGTGGGGGTGGCGGAACGGGGGGGGTGCTTTTCTAGTCAGAGGCAGGGGGCTTTATTGGGAGGGGCAGGAGGCCCCCAAGAAGGTTTCTTCAGAAGATGGGAAGGCTTTCGAAAAGGCCCCCCTCTTTCCTTCTCAGAAGGCCGTCCCCTCCGTGTGCTTGTAGCCCAGAAGTGATGAGACTCATGAAGAAGAGGAGCAGTAATTACGCTACCGAGGAACCCCACATACTTAATTTAAATCTTATGTGTTTGCTTATGTATTATATTTATATTTTAATATATATATATATATAAATATATATATATATATATATATATATATATATATATATGCACAATCCTGCGTTCTGGGCCCTCGTCGCGAATGTTCCCTGCTAGGCTTTGCGCCAGTGTCGTGGATAGCGGCCGAGCTGAGAGACCACCCCCTGCGCACCCCCTGTGGTGTGCGCAGTGGTGTCGAGAAAGTGCCACGCCTGCTAGCCTTTGCGCCAGTGTCGTGGATAGCGGCCGAGCTGAGAGACCACCCCCTGCGCACCCCCTGTGGTGTCGAGAAAGTGCCACGCCTGCTAGGCTTTGCGCCAGTGTCGTGGATAGCGGCCGAGCTGAGAGACCACCCCCTGCGCACCCCCTGTGGTGTCGAGAAAGTGCCACGCCTGCTAGGCTTTGCGCCAGTGTCGTGGATAGCGGCCGAGCTGAGAGACCACCCCCTGCGCACCCCCTGTGCGCACCCCCTGTGGTGTCGAGAAAGTGCCACGCCTGCTAGGCTTTGCGCCAGTGTCGTGGATAGCGGCCGAGCTGAGAGACCACCCCCTGCGCACCCCCTGTGGTGTCGAGAAAGTGCCACGCCTGCTAGGCTTTGCGCCAGTGTCGTGGATAGCGGCCGAGCTGAGAGACCACCCCCTGCGCACCCCCTGTGGTGTCGAGAAAGTGCCACGCCTGCTAGGCTTTGCGCCAGTGTCGTGGATAGCGGCCGAGCTGAGAGACCACCCCCTGCGCACCCCCTGTGGTGTCGAGAAAGTGCCACGCCTGCTAGGCTTTGCGCCAGTGTCGTGGATAGCGGCCGAGCTGAGAGACCACCCCCTGCGCACCCCCTGTGGTGTCGAGAAAGTGCCACGCCTGCTAGGCTTTGCGCCAGTGTCGTGGATAGCGGCCGAGCTGAGAGACCACCCCCTGCGCACCCCCTGTGGTGTCGAGAAAGTGCCACGCCTGCTAGCCTTTGCGCCAGTGTCGTGGATAGCGGCCGAACTGAGAGACCACCCCCTGCGCATCCCCTGTGGTGTCGAGAACGTGTCACGCCTGCTAGGCTTTGCGCCAGTGTCGTGGATAGCGACCGAGCTGAGAGACCACCCCCTGCGCACCCCGTGTGGTGTCGAGAGAGTGCTACGCCTGCTAGGCTTTGCGCCAGTGTCGTGGTAGCGGCCGAGCTGAGAGACCACCCCCTGCGCACCCCCTGTGGTGTCGAGAAAGTGCCACGCCTGCTAGGCTTTGCGCCAGTGTCGTGGATAGCGGCCGAGCTGAGAGACCACCCCCTGCGCACCCCCTGTGGTGTCGAGAAAGTGCCACGCCTGCTAGGCTTTGCGCCAGTGTCGTGGATAGCGGCCGAGCTGAGAGACCACCCCCTGCGCACCCCCTGTGGTGTCGAGAAAGTGCCACGCCTGCTAGGCTTTGCGCCAGTGTCGTGGATAGCGGCCGAGCTGAGAGACCACCCCCTGCGCACCCCCTGTGGTGTCGAGAAAGTGCCACGCTTGCTAGGTTTGCGCCAGTGTCGTGGATAGCGGCCGAGCTGAGAGACCACCCCCTGCGCACCCCGTGTGGTGTCGAGAGAGTGCCACGCCTGGTAGGCTTTGCGCCAGTGTCGTGGATAGCGGCCGAGCTGAGAGACCACCCCCTGCGCACCCCCTGTGGTGTCGCGAAAAGTCCACGAGTTGTGCTGTGCTGTGCTGAGCTGAGCCGTGCTGGGCTGTGCTGAGCTGAGCCGTGCTGGGCTGCGTGCTGAGCTGAGCTGAGCTGCGTGCTGAGCTGAGCTGTGTTGTGATGTGCTGTGCTGTGCTGAGCTGAGCTGTGCTGTACGAAGAATGAGGTGTGTGTCGCGGGTGCGGCGCGGCAGGGAAGAAAACCAGAACCCCACGAAGCATGTGGGGAATAATAATCATAATCGTAACCATCATCGTAATCACCTGTATGAGCGCAGATGCTCGGACGTCCGCGCGGATCTCTTGGATCTATGTTGGACCTCCCTTGCGGCTTGTCGCCACGGGACGAAGCAGTTTTTGGCTAGGGCACAGCGCTGTGGCGCGAAGATAATCTCGCTTCGCGCGTCTCGGTCTGGGCCGGAGCGGTTACTCTTCTCCATGGGGGCGGCGCGAGGGTGAGATGGCGCGAAGATAATCGAGCGTCGCGCATTCGGGGGCGCGATGTGCGAAGATAGGTGCGTCGTCGTCGTCGTCGCCGCCTCCGCCCTCGTTGTTCCTCCGCTGGCGCTCGCCGCAGGAGTGCACGTCGGACGGCACTTGCACCTCCACGGACTACAGCGTCGTGCTGGAACCCACCACGCGAGGGCGCGCGCGCGCGCTCGAACGCCTGCCGGAGGCGCAAGTTGCTGCGGACTGGCGGAAGGGAGGCAGTCCGAGGCGGGAATTTCTACACGGCCACCGCGTGGAGGATCAATTTCCGGGGACCTCGGAAGGCGGTGGATATGGGCATATTCGGGCCCCCTAAGTCTATCCATATCCACCGCCCGCTGGGGTACCAGGGCGCTGATTCCCAGGCGGTGGACATGGATAAATCCCCGCCTCGCAGGGAAAAAAGGAGGAGGAGGAGGAGGAGGAGGAGGAGGAGGGAGGGCGGGAGGTGGGAGGGAGGAGGAGGAAGATTTTCCGGGGCTCGGAGGGGGCCGAAGCGTGCCCCTCTCCCTAAGACGTGTCTTGGCGCATCCTCACTGCGTGTGCATGTGTATGTATATGTATCTAAGTGGCCCACGCCGAACCACCGCCGCCCCCTGCCTTCTAGGATACGCCTATGTGGCCACGCTGCGGCCGGAGCTCGGCCAAGCTATCGGACTCTGTGTTTCACCAGCTGTTGTGGAACCTCCTCGGGGAACACGAGGGGGAGAAACAACGGATGAGAGGGAAGAAACATTAGCACGAGGAGGAGGACGTTGAGGACTCTTGGTAGTCTCTTGAGGCACTCCTGTGGGCCTCCTGGAAGCTTGCTGGTCAGCGTTGTGGAGGCCTCTTGGAGGCTTCCTTGGGCCTATTGGGGGGCCTTCGGAGGCCCACTGGGCGGCCTCTTAGCCGTCTAAGGGTTTCCCTGGCCCATCTGACGCCAGTGGAAGCAGTTTTGGGAGCTTTTCTGGGCCGACCTGGCGCCCTTTCGGAGCGCTTCAGGGGCGTGTTGGAGGCCATCTTGGACGTTTTGGAAGTGCCCTGGGCCGTATTGGAGCCCTCTTGGGGTCGTCTTGGAGGCTTCTTGGGCCATCCGTCAGTGGGCCATCTCGGGCTTCTAGGTTTGTTCTGCGCTGGAGGGACGAACACCGCCCAAATCCCAAACTTCAAAATGAAGCCACATGGTGTCCTCACTTGTCATCCCAGAAGTCCTGGGCATCCAACTGAAGCCATAGGGTCTCCGCACGCCTGACATGGCAAACTGTGCGTTTTGAGCGTCTGGGAAAGATGGGGAGGCCCGTGCATAATCGATATGTGTGTGTATATATATATATGTAGAGAGAGAGAGAGAGAGAGAGAGAGAGAGAGAGAGAGAACAACAAACAAGAAATACATAAGGAACGAGAGAGAGAAAGAGAGAGAGAGAGTCAGGGAGAGAACGGGAGAGAGAGAGACAGAGAGAGAGAGAGATAGTGACAGAGAGACAGCGAAGCATATTCCATAACCGCGCGCGGGCGATAATTTTATACGTCCCTTTAACCCCTTCTATGTTTTAATGCCCGCCGAATAAGCTTTCATTGTGGGAAGGGGCGCGAAGGCCGAACTTTTGCATCCACGGGGCAAGTTGCGAATCGAAATTGCTACCAGATCATGCTGACTAGCAACAGCATCAAAAACGCTGAGCGTGGCCATGGTGGTCTCACCACACCAGCGTCCGCAATCACGGGCGTGTGGCAGGACTGTGGGATTCTCACCAGTTCATCTGCCCACGTTACGAACGTGCGGCAGGGCCATGGGATTCTCGTTTTCTTATCCGTTCCCGAGTCAGGAACCCGTGGCTGGGCCAGAGGGACCGATTGGATTCTGATTGTCCCTGCGTTTTCTCGAGCAGGCAGGGCATTGGATTCAAGCGAATGACTTGTTTGGCGCACCCCTCACACGCTTCGTGGCCCTTTCTCCTCCTCTTCCTCCTCCCCCTCCTCGTGAGCGATGAGGATCATGGCTTCGTGGCGCGCGGGTGCCGCGAGGGAGCGCTTTTAGTCTAGAGCGTCAGTGTATTTGTGTGCCGGAATGTTTTGGGAAGCAGCATCTGCCCAACTGCCATGACTTGGCCAATACTTTTGGGTCGAGTGTGTGGCGCGGAATGCAGGATGCCGCCAGCAAAATGTTTCTCAACTCGGCCGTCACTTTTGTGAAGCAGAGGTACAGGCTTGCGCGTGTGACGCGGGGGGGGGATCGGGAAGTCACTCTGCGTCCCAGCCAGTGGCGGCCTGATTGGCGACTCCTTTGCAGTTCGGTCGTTCGTTCATTGTTTCTCCCCTGCGGCCGAGGCCTGGCAGCCCCAGCATGGTTTCCTACGTGTGCGATGCCCTTTTGTCGCAGGAGTGGCCAGATCTGTCACTCACCAAGTATGCTGATGACTTAACAAAATAGTTCGCAGGATCACGTTGTTACTCGCTTCAGTGTCTGGTCGGACTCAGTGTCAGGTCCAACGCCGATCTAGACTATGAGCTTGAGCAGCGTGGGCACCGGCAAAACTTGGATAAGCAGGACACTCTCGTAGGCATATTCGGCCGAGGTGCGGGGCGGGCTCTTGAAGCGCTCCGCGCTGGGGAGGTTGCGGACCCAGGAAAAGCGTCCCAGGTTGTGGTCAGTCTTGGGGCCCGCCTTAATACGAATCCGATTCGATACAGTTCCGGATGCCGAGCGCGACTGGAGGCTATGCGCGTAGGATGGCGCTCTTTAGGTAGCTTCTGGTCTTTAGCTGGTGCGCCCTGTCGCGTGCGAAGGCGCATGCTCCTCAGCAAAATCTATAACGCTGTCCTGTCTGGTCTCGAGGCTTTTTTTGCCCGCGCCAGCCGAGCACGCGAGGCTCACCGCCGCAGTTGCACAATCTGCCCGAAAAGCGACCTGTGTCTTTGTCTGAATATTCCCACCCTGTCTCCCTTAGGAATGAAGCAGCATTAAAGTATTGGCGCATCGTGCCGATCGAGCTCGAGGCTCGAATCCGTCGCGCCACGTGCCTCCGAGAGCTCCTGGGGCACCCCAACTCCCTCAAGCAAGTTCTGGCGGCCCACTTTGGCGGTCTCCCCTTTTTTCCCCTGCCCCCCCCGCCTCGGGTAGACTCGACGCGCGAGCGAAACCCTGGGCCAAACTTGCTTGGGATGATCTCGAGGCGATGTCTGTGATTGACGAGGGGGCGGCGCTTTTGGCTTCGATTGGGGGCCAATGCCAGCAGCTCCTCCTAGCTGATCCAGAGATAACCGAGGATTTTCTGAATTTCGATGTGCGACAGTTACGGAGTCAACTTCTGTCGGAACGAGTCCCCCTTCCTGAATGGGATGCTCCTGCTGCCGCTCATGGTCCTCCCCGCGTCTTTGCTCGGGGCGGTGCATGCCGATGCTGCTTCTCTAATGCCGACGGGACCGTGCGCGGGGCCTTCTTGCCGGATAAGCGGGGCGCCCACGCGCGTATCATCGCTCGACGTGGGCATCGTGAACTGGGGCATGTTCTTTCTGTTGCCAGCGAGTCGAGGTCAAGAAGCTCGACGACAAGAAGGCCACGCTCGAGGACAAGGAGCTCGACGACAAGAAGGCCACGCTCGAGGGCGAGAAGCCCGGCGACAACAAGCGCTGGCGCCGCTCCAAGCCCGCAACGACGAGGCAGCGCGATGCCTCGCAGACCTCGGCCCCGAGTTCCGACTCAGCCCCGAGGCGCCTCGCGAGCCGCTAGGAGTTCTGAGCGAGGTGCTCTCGGGCAGAATGAGGGCGAGGTGCTGGGGCCCCCCAGCGAGGCGACCCCCGAGCTCGAGGGCGCCAGGGGAACAATGCAAGGAAAAGAGAGACAGGTGCCAGAGCAACAAAACCACCAACACGAAGAACGCAAGCACACGCGAGCAACGCAACACGCGCAAACAAAAGCAGCGGCCACGCATACAAATGCAACCGCAGCCAGCGCACCAACATAACCACCAACGACAGCAGAAGCAACAGCAAGTCACGGCAGCAACACCAACACCAACACCAACAACACCACCAACACCAGCAGCAGCACCAAGCACAACAACACCACCAGCAACAGCAGAAGCAACAGCAAGCACAACAGAAGCACCAGCAAACCTTAACAGCAGCGAAACAAACAAGAACAACAAGCGAACGCCAAGGAGCACCACCGACAAGCTAACATTGCCAACTTTCCGTAGCCACGTTGGCTCGAGGTTTGCCGTTTCGAGCTACTGCACCTTTGCAGCGAGACTCCGATGGTCACGCCGACGAAGCAGACAAGCTTGTCGAGCCCCTGGCGCCTGTAGACCTTGCCGCCCGGGGCCGCCCGCGGCCCCGAGATCGCGCCGGAAGCTGAGACGGCCGACTCCGCCACGAGTTTCCACGGACGACTCGAGGCCGCGAGGCTCGAGGCTGAGGCGGCCGAGCAGGATTGATCTTCCTTATCCTCCTTCAGCTCGTTTCTCATTTTTCATGGTTCGCATATCCTTTCCTTTTGTTGTTTTACGTGTCTGTTGCTTTCATTACTGTTCCTTTCCATTTCGTTATTTTCCTTGTCTCTTTCTCTTCCTTCTACCTCGTGCCCCCCCGCCCCCCGCCCAGGGGCCGAACTTTTTCATCTCTCGATTTCTTCTGTCGCCCGCGGGGCCCCATCGTGGCCCCCCCTCCATGCGCCGTTGAAAACGCATAAGATAATTTGTTTTCGCATATACAAAACCTAAAGGCCCCGAACCCGACATTTTCTCAAACGTCGATTCTGGGGCCGTCCTCTTCTCTAGTCCGCCCCACGCCTTTCTCAGTCGTCTCTTCCTCCCCGTTCTCCTAGTAGCACTATTGCAGTCGGCCCCCGTGGTAGTGACGGGCAATCTTGCTGCGCCCTTGCATTCTTGCCACTGCGGCCCATCTCTGGGCCTTGCAGGGGCCTTGCACCTATGCCGCCCACCCTTACTACGCGGGTCGACTGTAATGCTGCGAGCCCCCCCCCCCCCCCCCCCCCCCCCCTCCCCACCACACACCCCGCCCCACCCCGCCCCACCCCACCCCGCCCCGCCCCGCGCCCCCAGGAGCGACTTGCGGCCGCGGCCGCGCGCCGAGAGCTTGCGAGCGCCGAGGGCAAGTCCCTCGCCCCGCGCGGCTTCGGCCGAGGCGTGGGGCG